AGGGGTGGCTTCAAAGCTATTTAACTGATAGAACACAGTGTGTTGTCGTCGAAAATGTCTCCTCTGGTACCTCAGTTGTCAGGCTGGTGTTCCGCAGGGCTTGGTTCTCGGTCCTTCACTTTTTCTGATCTACATAAATGATATTGTCTAAAAATTACAGTCAAATATATAATTATTCGCGGATGATACATCTTTATATATGTTGATTAAAGTTCCTACAGACGGTGCCCAAATTTTAAATTCAGATATTGAGAGAATATACACATGCGCTAAAACATGACTAGTTTCCTTTAATCCTGATAAAACTGAAACATTGGCATTATCAACCACATCTAAGCACGGTTAAAATAAATGAAGTATCTCACCACAAACATATGGGGCTTATTTTTCAAAACAATCTTAAATGGAACATACATATAGAAAATCTTTGTAATAAAGTGTCAAAATTTATCAACTGCTTAAGATCACTCAAGTACCAACTAGGAAGAAAATCACTCAAAACAATATATATTTCCTTTATTTTACCACACTTTGAATTGTTATAAAATGCTGTTGTGTATTTTGATAATGGTTTATTTTACATATTCAGTGTAACCACTTGCACTATTGAGTTATTTAACTTACTTTAATGAGACGTTAATTGGGTCCACCTGTTGTAACACGTATTGTGTAATATTAATCCTCAATAACCATTTTCTCTTTTATTGAGATTAAAGTTAGGTAATCTTGAGTTGACAAGTTTAGCTCTATTGTAACTACAAAGGCCAATTACATTCGGCTGTAACAACACACATTACATAATGTCTTAATTAGGTTATATTATTCAAGTCTTGTTGTTTACGCAATAGATGGCCTGTCAATCAATCCAATATGACATCGTTGTCCAATCGGCTCAATTGTATGGCATGAGTTAGTCAATCAAGATTGCCTTGTAAGATCACGTGACATGATGTTACCACACATTATTTAAACGACCGCGCTAAGGTTAGGGAGGTTCTAAGTTAAAGTTCGAGACAGGGAGTCAGAAACTAGAGGTCAAGTTAGGGGTCTCCCCCTAGCGTGGGTTTCCACATCCCACGAGATTCCACGAGATGTAGTTTACTTACCAGAGATGTTACAATGTTCTGTATATATGTTTGATTCCTGTATTACCTGTATATATGTTCCAGTATTAAAACCTTATTATTAATTACAAGAGTTATGTTATGTATTCTGTTACATACTCTTATTTGGTGTTCGTGACCAGTCGAACCTTAGATGGGTCAAAGATCAACGCAAAGTCCTGCAACTAGACGATGAACGGAAGAAGAAACTTAAAAAGTAAACTAGAAACTAGACGATTATATTTTACAGTCCTCGACGATCAAGCTCTGAAGATAACCCCACAACGACGAAAATGGAGAAACACTAAGTTAAAGTTAACTAAGTTAAAAGTTCGAGACAGGGAGTCAGAAACTAGAGGTCAAGTTAGGCCCCCCCCCCTAGCGTGGGTTTCCACATCCCACGAGATTCCACGAGATGTAGTTTATTTACCAGAGATGTTACAATGTTCTGTATATATGTTTGATTCCTGTATATATTATGTTCCAGTATTAAAACCTTATTATTAATTACAAGAGTTATGTTATGTATTGCGTTACAGAATATGCTTACATTATTCGGTATGGGTGCACGGATTACTTAGCTAACCAGTTAGAACAATTACAATTAGATGCTTTACGCACAATATGTGGCGGCGTGAAGGGAACTAGCCATGATTTAATATGTAAAGAAGTCGGTATTTTGCCTCTAAAACAAAGTCGTGAAAGACATAAGTTGATATTTTTATATAAAATAATAATCCACTTAACCTCTGATTACCTTTATGATAATTTAAACAAAAAACAAAGTAAATACTCATTAAGAAATGACAAAAACCTTCTATACTATTTTTGTAAAACTAATCTATTTTATAATTCTTTCTTTCCTTCAACTACACGACTTTGGAACAATCTAGATCTTTCTATACGTAATTCAGATACGTAATTCATTTATAAACAAAAATTCTCAAATATGATCACTTGGAACCTTCTTATTACAATATTGGTAAAAGAAAAGTTCAAATCATCCATTCAAGACTTCGTTTATCAAACAGTGATCTAAATGGACATACATTTTTAAGACACATAACCGACTCTCCAGCCTGCCGATGTGGACACAATTTTGAAGACCCTTATCACTTTCTGCTGATATGCCACTAAAACCATTACCAACAGAATACATCAACACAAAGTTTCTATTGTATAGCTCTATGGATATTTCACTTGAACAAAATAAATGAATATTTTCTGAGGTGCAAAACTTTTTAGAATTAAGTAATAGATTTTAAGTACTGTAATTGTCATTTATCATTAACGTCACTAGATTCTGTTTACATATTTGTACACTTTCATGCCTTATGTATATCAAATAACCTTTTTATTTTTTATTTGTAAAAATATTATTGTATACTTTCACAATTTTATTAATTAAAAATAACACAATATGAATAGTTTCGACTATATACATGTATACTAAGCAGCAAAAGAAACGCCAAGTTGGTATGTTACACTGAATAGACGCATTGCATAAAACTTGCCAAATGTTTTATTGTGTATTTGTGACCACATCTCCAACTTTACCTGAGCAATAAGGCTCCTTCCCAAGCTCTCAGACCCCACGTCATACCACATTTCGTACGTCATCGAAACAACATTTTCCAGTATGACAACGCCCGTGTCCACACCACCAGGGTTACTCGGGACTTTCTACCGCAGAACGGTGTCAACGTTATGCACTGGCCAGCCCTTAGTCCGGACTTAAACCCGACTAAACATCTTTGGGATGAAATTCAGAGGAGGTTTTTCTGAGAGTGTGATTCCGGGTGCCAATGGCGTTCATCAATCGTCTGGTCCACTCCATGTTGGCATGTACAGACGCTGCGCTGCTGTTATTGACACTCGCGGTGGACACACCAGATACTGATGTATAGACTGTGTACAGACTCTAAACCTTCTCATAATGTCTTGGAATTGTGATGAATTAATCACTAATGTATCAACATACTGTTCACAAAAAAATGCTTTGATCCATTAGTAAGTCGTCTTCAAGAATGATTTGATTTAAGTAAACTAATTGTAATTATACTGTTTTGTTGAAGGGGGGGGGGGATGATATAAGCCTAGCCTGTTCCCCAATCTTATTCTTATTGAATAAAATATAGTTTTAAAATAAATCCTACCAAGTTTCAACTGAATACCTCAAACTTTAATATTAACGGAGATACGCAATCTTGAATGTCGAAAAAAATGCTGAAGCAAACTTTCGCAAATGTTCGATGCTAAAACCAATCGAGCGAACTACCGAATTTCGTCAGTCAAGAGTCCATATGGGATTCGTCCAAAGAACCTCAAAATAAAAATCCAACGAAGATTCGTTGAAAAATAATCGAGATATAGGCAATCGGAGATTATTTTTGGCCCATCCACAAAACACTTCCTGTTTGTCAAAAATGACCCAATTAAATAGCTTTGGCTGCAAACCCCCACTAAAGTTCGCAAAGAAACATAAATAAAAACTCTTACGAAAATAATACGTGTTTCGTACCGAAAGTTCCGAAACATGTAATTAAAGAACATGTGTTTTCAATCCAATCGATTGTTATGTAATTAGGATCATGTCTGTTGGGGAAATATATCTTTTAACTCGATTCGGTTCTATTCTATTCCATTCCTCAATACAGGTGTTGTATTGGAAAATGAGTCTGGTATTTTAGACAAAGCCATGTGTGACAATAAGACCATAGGTTAAATAGATCCACCAATAGAATGGGTAGCATTTCGATTTAACTACTAAACAGCCGTTATTTAATTTTGTCATTTGTCTTATTTTTTTATGTCTTCCACTTTACTCAACACGTCCTTAATGTATTTGTAAATATCTTCTTACGTTTTTCTCTTTCTTGCAGTGATAACAGTGTTTTCCAGAAAGTCAGCAGATTTAAACGATGTGACAGCGCGTTAATAGGAAACCTTTTGGATTTAATGCAACTCCTGTCAAGACACGCAGTTTCACAGAGCGGAAATAGAGTAACTAGTTGGGAAGGTGTATTTCACGCGATTTATGGTTGATCTGATTGATCATGAATAATATTAGGGGAAGCAGAATCCATCTAAATTGAAACCTGTCAGCGTACATAGAGATGACTACTACAACAGAGCCAACACAAGTGTATTCTCGTTGACTGGTCATTCAATGTGGATGGCTTCATTAGATTCACAGCGTGACTGCTTTGGACGCAATACTAGGCTTTCTTTTCAAATATTGAAATAAATTGGCCGATTTATTCAAGACGAGGGAAACGTATAATAAATATATCTCGCAACAAATTAATTGAAAGTTGAAATGTAACAGAAATGGTATTTTACCCTATTATTGACAAATGCTCAAATACTCCTATAATATATAATAGATAGATGAACTTAATAATTGTATTTTAGCACACTTTATGCTCATAACGTAACACAACGGGACCAGATTTTTTCATATTTGGAAAATACCACACTACCTGACGGAAATGTGTGTATCAGCTAAAGTAATAGTCAGTAACTGTTGATGGAATGTGTAACTAACCGGTTTACCTTGGGCTTGTGTAACACAGATCGTCCAATAAAAATAAAACTATTCCTGGATTGATCAATCCAAGGTGAACGAAAATAATATGGACCCAAAGGGAATTCTAGCTATAAATCCGTGAAAATTAAATTATTAATGTCCATACCTTAAACACGCATCTTTTCATTGTTCATTAATCAGTAAGCCAGAGCGGTGACAATATTTACGGTAGATATATTTCATCGCGTGTCTAAATTATGGCAGCTACAAGTATAATGAACTACTCGGTAGAAGTCAATTCCTCAGGCATGCTAACAGAATCTAGTGAAGATAAAGCCTATGTAACTATCAGACGTTTGCAAACCGTTATGATACCTATTATCTGTATTATTGGCATCGTTGGAAATACGCTTGCCGCGGGTGCCTTTCTCAGTGCATCTTTACGAACGACCTCATGTTGCTTGTATCTAGCAGTAAAATGTTTGTCGGACATAGGATTCCTATCGTCTTTGTTCATCGTTTGGTTGTACAGGGTTCACGTCCCGATCTTCAATACGAACGGCCTTTGTCAACTCTACGTGTTCCTGTCCTACATATGCGCCTTTTTATCAGTATGGCTAGTTGTGATCATAACGTTTGAGAACTTTATTCGAATCAGTCAACCGCAATGGGTTGGTATAATATGCACCCCACGGACGGCTAAAATTGTCATCGTCGTGTGCGTTACTATGTCTCTTATATTTTATAATTACCCACTTTGGACGGCGGGTATAGTCAACGTGGATGGTTCAGCACTGTGTTCTACGCGAGAACAGTTCCAGAACGTGGTTATGGTATTGACGTATGTGGATACTTTCCTGACCCTCATTATTCCTTTCGTGATCATGTTGATCCTGGTACCCCTTATTACCATTGCTGCTCTTCAAGCCTACGAGAGAAAAAAACGACTGTTTCGAAATGCGCGCCGAGAGAGCAAGGGATCTAGTCCAGAGACACAAGTAACAAAACTTTTATTTGCTGTGTCTGTTGTGTTTTTGGCCCTCCATACTCCTGGCCACGCTATTCGCGTTAAACTGATGATCGTGAAATTTCTTCAGCATGTTTCGCCTTCGTATCTTGATGTGACATTACAAAGACTTTTTGAAATATTTTATTATATGGATTTTTGTTTAAGTTTGGCTGTATATCTGATTTTTGGTGCTAATTTTAGAAAAGTCTTTGCTGCTTTGTATTTCAAAAAATGTCAGCGACAAAATGAACTTCGAAGAATTCAGGCTAACGTCAATAATACTGTGTCTAAACATTTACTGAAAGAAAACGGCCAGTCGGGGGTAGTTGTTTGAGACTTAGGTCATTTATTAATATTAAACTTAAATATGGCTCTCATATGCGTATTTTGTCAAAGTTGCCGGCGTTATGTGAGAAAAACGTTAAGAAGAAGATTTGGATAGATGTATGTATCTTTAGTTTAAAGTAATTAAATCAGTATATACATAGGACACAGTTCTGTGGAATACAACTACTGTTAACATATATTACATACACTTGTGTCCTACGTATTTCCAGCTTAGTCAGTTAATGCTACTAAACGAATTTAAATATGTATAGTTTAAAATAGCTGATCGTGATATAAGAGATTTTTAACCCCTTTCAACTACACTGAGAAATTGAATTTCTCAAATCAAAGATCCCTAGTCTTTTTAAGTTTGTTAAAGGGGTCCTGGGGTAACCGTCTTATTTTGAATATAATACGATATAAAATTAAATAGACTTATGTTCTAGGTGAAAGATTATATAAATTCCATGAGGAAACGCATTGTTGTTGGTTTGTTATTAGTATAAATTAGTATTGCTATTAATGGTTCATAATACATTGTACTAAGTCTAGTATGATAGTCATTTTACTTACTAATTGTTATATAATGTGCTGAACTAAATTTATATTTAATGCTAAAACATAGTTATCTCTATCTGCGTTTATTATTTCTTTGGCTCTTTAAACCCCATTTTCTAGCCATCACAAGTTTTAATGGATCAAAATATATTACATAATTACGAAATGAAATGGGCTGTAACGCCCTCCTGTTTAACACAATGACAGCTTGGTTTTTTTTGTGTGTCTATCTATATTTTGACAAGCCATGTAAGTACCTCAATGAGACAGTTTAATTAGTTAGCGTGGAGTTTATCCAGATTATCTCATCGTAAGCTTTTCCATGAATACAGATTCTACTATTACTGTAAATTGTGAATCGAAAAATTGTACGATTACGATAATGACTATCGTGTAAAATGAGTATAAATAGTTTTCATGTGTTTAAATTTAGAATTTCAGTGTAGAAACTAAAACATGTCACTTTTGTGTTATTAAATGTTTTACAAAATCTGTTAGCATACACGTGTAGGTCAATGATGCTAATACTATTATGGAAATGTCTCTTCAATAACAGAACAAAGATATTGATGACAGATATTCGGATAACTTTTAGCTAGGCGTGAATAAATAAATCGTTAATAATGGCATCAGTACTAATAGATCATCCTAATATGCCATACCTAAACTTAGAAATGGCGCTGTTTTAATTCCGCCAAGTATGTTCAGTTTATGTGTCGAAATTAAAGAGGAGAGAGAGAGATGGGGTTTAACGTCCACTCGACACAAACTAGGTCATTTCGGGACTAAAACATGGTACAATTTTATTTCAATAATTCGCATGCGCGTAGGGGTCTTTAGCAGTGGGAGGACCTGGAGAAAACCCACGAGGTCCGACAGGCGACCCTACTCCTTGTCACGTACAACCGGGGAATCGAAACCCCGCCAGTTGACTAAATGACAAACCGTATGATACAGCGCGCGCGTGCTAACCATTCGGCTACCCCCCCCCCCCCTGATTAATGAGGCATGAAAGAACTAAACTTCTAAATTTGTCTGTTGCCGGGCGTGTTTCTAACTTCAAAATTTTATTTACATTAGCATGTACTCAGTAGATTAGGTAGTGTCGTGGTGGTTCTCTAGACTCTCTGATGTCGTTATACCACGAGTTCGTCCAAAATTAAAATGTTGAGTGGACGTTAAACCCCATCCCCTTTATTTAGACACGTATTCGCATAACAAGACCATTATCAACTCGTTTAACCATCGGATGTTTTCTGGGGAATTATATCCTTTCCCAATATTTAATATTTTTAAGTTAAGTTTTTAAAATGTTTTAAAATTAAGCCTTAAAATAGATGGTATCTATTAACAGTCCTACCTTGTTAAAGAATAATCCTATAATTCAATATTGCCAGTTGAGAAATTGGCAAAATATCATTTTCATCTTCAAATTCAAACGTTTGAAGATAGCTATTCCATGGTGGGGAATAGGAAAACAAGGGAGGTAATTGTGTTATTATTTCCGGTGTAAAGATGTTTAAGTGTGAGAAAGATAACCTATGATCGTATAATAGTGAGTTAACAACCTTTTGAGCAAAAGACATAGAAATAATTATGTTTTGACTTTCTTAGGAAATATGAAATTGTAACTTTAAATAATACGAATTTGACAGACATGACCATTTGTTTCAGTGTAATGATCTAACGAAGGTCACGGAGTCTTTCGTCGATGCACATGTTAGGGATGGTATGGAATGAAATGAAATAGGGTTTAACGTCCTATTATTCTGTTGGGATGGTATGAACGAACCATGTCGAATGCCTGGTTAATCGCGGTAATTTTAATACCTGTATGAAGCTCATCATTATAGAGCTCATGTTTTCTAACGTGGCAGGGTGGATTAAAGCCACGTTTACACTAATAATTAATTCTTTTCAAAGCTAATATTTAGAAGCCAATACATTTACATTGTAAAAAGATTACATAGAGCAAGAATATGCCGACTAAGCCTAGTAAACAAATATGTTACAGAAGATTCCACAATAACACCACTTTACTAATGAACGTGTTTGCGGCCAGTGCCCCCACGTAAACACCTCCTTTCAATCTATTATCGTCACCACACAGCAGTGTTCAAATACGTAAATAAATGAAAATAAGGTTTTCTGAACAATAAAAAAGTGGTCTTATTTGTAGAAAGTCATTTCAAATAAAAACCTTTCCATATAATGATCTCGAATAATAACATATCTTAAAGCGTTTCATATCCAGATAATTATCTTAAATAAAAACGTTTAATTTTAGAATAATGATCTCAAAACCTTAAGACGTTTGGTATGATATAAAAATAATGATCTCAAATAAAAATTTATTTTAAAACGTTTGATATTCAGATAATTATCCGAAATAAACATTGCTCTTTATATTTTGTTTAATTTTGAGGCAAGATTGGTTTATGATGTTTTGAGATATGTATTTTGATAAAACTTCAGAATAATATTGAATGAATATAATGTACTATCAAAATATTGTTTAAAAGTCATGACCGTTTGTTAATTGTATTGTTTGGTTATGTTATGTATGCCCTTTTAGGGGTTTTGTTTTAGCTGTTATATTGACAGTGAAAATATACTCTTCAAAAAAAAAAGTAGGGGATATTGAAATGCAAATACCTATGCAGGTTGCCATATGATAAATAGCCATGGACATTTGACTTGATTTGTGAGTATGTTCACAGGTGAAGAACTTATCGCCCCAACAGAACCACTGAGCTGCACATACGACACGCAATGGCGCCATACACGTGGGAGGGGTTCATTGTCAAATCTAACACTTCAAGGAAGGTTTGATGAAAACTGCCGCGTGCTGGTGTGTCTATCCATGTTTGCTTTCCTATCGGTTCTTGCATAATATTTACTGTTTAGCGTATCTTTGCTTTAGTGTGTTGCGTTTAATTTGATCGGGAGACGTGTTCGTCGACGTCAACGGACAACACTGCAAGAATTGACCGTGGCACTGCAAGAGGAGTGGGTCAGATTGTCCCAAATCGTGATTGAACGGTTGATTAGGAGCATGCCACGACGAATTGCTGAATGTCTGAGGATTGGTGGAGCAATTACTCATTATTAAGACAAAAATCAAAAACGTCCATTTTCACTTTTGAAAATAAGGCGGTCAGATAAGCCGCCCATATGAACTGTTTATGTTCATGTGTAAGCAATTGACCTGTTATTAACATACATTGGTTAGTTCTAATAAAAACAGCAGTGCATTTCCGCAGTTTTGTATTGTTTCAGAATATCCCCTTCTATTTTTTTTTTTTTTGAAAAGTATATATTGCTCATGCCGCACACAGCCAAAATTTTCTGTATTAAAAGTTGTACACCCCACAGCGAATGTGCACGCTTTAGTGACTAGTCCCGAATTGATTTATGGCTAGTCACGCAGTGCGATAATACTGGGCGGTATAATCAATGATGCTATAAATAGCCATCGCATGTGAAATTGTCAACGCATCTATCGACTATCAAATCCGTAAAAAATCTATTGTTAACGATTCTGAATAACAATAATATTTGGGGGATCACGTGGCTAAGTGGTAAGACGCTGGCTCGCTAGCCTGGAAGTCGGGTGTTCGATCCCTGCATTGGCCGAGAAAGTTCATCCAGATTTTCCGGCATGGTTCCCCCTTGTCAGTGATGCAGGACGGAGGGCCTGACAAGGACAGCTGCCTAGTCCTTCGGATGAGACGAAAAACTGAGGTCCCGTGTATAAATTGGAATGCACGTAAAAGATCCCTTGGCAGTTGGAATTCGATATAAGAGTAGGCGATAGTGCCGCTGCCCGGGCAAAATTTCCCTCATAGCACACTGTATGGCGTATGCCCGTCTTCATTAGCCAAGTTTAGGAGCAGAGCAGTAGGACGTTAAACCCCATTTCATTTCATTTCACAATAATATTTCTGATTCGATGTTGCAGCAGCTATGGAAAATTACGTTCGTTATGGTTTTTTTTATAATTTGCTATATTTATGAACTATACGGTTAGGAGCGGCACCTTTTGGTTTAGTAAAATTAATATCTCCGAAGCTCCTTCGTTATGCAAGAATAGCATATTAGTAGTATCTTCCTTTTGTTTTTACAAGATTCTCAAAACAATCATTGAGTTGCCTAACGTGCGTGTTTATTGGTCTACTTTTCTGTAACGTTTCGTAGAAAATAGTTCTGATTATCCTGGCCTGACAATAAGCCGGATAATCTTTTTTGCACTAAAAATGCCCGGATTTCATGGCGGCGGCTTGGCAACTTTTCCAGTCAAATTTTTAATTATTTGAAATGCTTATAACTTGTTAGATACGACCGCTCATTTAGGAACTATAAATGTGAGGTGGTAAGTTAAGACTTGTTATATATATACTTCTTGTGGTATAATTGTCGAAATATTTGGAGATATTGATTTATGGTGGG